GCTTGTCACGAAGTCTGAGTACTTGGAGAAGTTCCGGTCTTGGATTAATGCACAAATTCAAAAAGCATCCGAGAACAGATATGATTTAGTCGACGATGCACAAACTCTATTAGCCCTTAGTGTTGAAGACCAGCAAAAGCTTATCTCTGAGCTGTTAAAAGCTATATCGACTTCGGAAGTAGCGGCAAGTGGGGAGCTAATTTCTCGAGTTCTTCAGAACTGCTCGGATATCATGGAGGGAAGGGTTGACGGTATAGAAATTTTGCTTCCCGAAAATGGACTCACGAATTTCTATGATAGCCTAGAATATAGAACCGATTGCATCAATTTCTTTACAGCGGCTGGGCACTCAAAACCAAATCTACGGGTCCTAGAAATTGGCTCTGGAACAGGAGGAACCTCAGCTGTTGTCCTTAGAGGGCTGACTTCGACAACCCAAAGGATGTATTCAACCTACACATACACAGATATATCTTCTGGCTTCTTTGTTGAAGCCCAAGAGCGGTTTAAAGACTATCCGGGACTGGAATACAAGGTACTGGATATATCTAAAGATCCTAGACAACAAGGTTTTCAGGACGGATCGTATGATTTGATTATTGCGGCGAATGTCTTGCACGCAACACCAAGCCTGAATACCACGCTGAGCCACGTCCGGAAATTGCTTGCTGAAGATGGTCGTCTGTTCTTACAAGAACTTTCACCACAGGCTCAATTTGCCAACTTGTAAGTTTTACAAGGATTTAGGGAATTACGCTAATATTTTTTTGATAGAATTATGGGTGTCTTGCCAGGCTGGTGGCTTGGAGAGGCAGATGGTCGATCCAATGAACCATATATCTCTCCTGAGCGATGGGATGTAGAACTCCGAAAAGTTGGATTATCCGGCGTTGATGCTACAATCTATGATGCCGAGCAGCCGTACCAGTTTAATGCCAACATAATTTCCCGTCCCAGCAAGGTGGGCCGTGTTGCTCAGCGAGTTACTCTACTTTACGAGCAAAATTCAGACATTGAGGGAATCAAAACTTCATTGGCTAATAAGGGTTATTCGGTCGACCTTTGCACAATTGATCAGGACCCCCCTGCTGGGCAAGATATTATATCTCTTCTCGAACTTGAGACTTCTATGTTTGAGAAGATTTCAGTTCCAGACTTGGTAGCATTTCAAAATATTGTCAAAAGACTTGGAACAAATCACCTACTATGGGTAACCAGATCAGCTCAGATTGAGTCTTCTGATCCCCGTTTTGGTATGGTCCTCGGTTTAGCAAGAACTCTTCGTTCGGAATTGTCAATATCTATTGCCACCCTTGAAATAGACGCAGTCGACGAGGTCACATATACCGCCATTGCAAATATTTTGGAGAAACTCAAAGACAGCTCTTCCATATCAGATAACAACCCTGATTATGAGTTCATCCTATCGAAGAAAGTTGTCAATATTGGGAGATATCATCCTGTGTCAGTAGAGCAAGAACTTGCCGTTTCAGCTTCACAATCCCAGGCGGTAAAGTTGGAGATTGGAAGGTTTGGACTGTTGCAAACTTTGAGATGGGTACCCTATCTTCAACCCAGGGTTGGCCATGATCAGATTATCGTGGAGCCTAGATGTGCAGGTCTGAACTTCAAGGTACGTTGAGTTTCATAGACCTCTTGTAAAAGTCATGAATTCTAACGTTTTGCACTAGGATGTTCTTGTATCGATGGGTATCGTGGATGGGGATTCACTTGGCCTCGAGGGCTCGGGAAGAGTGGTGGAGGTTGGATCTGAGGTGACAGATTTCCAAGTTGGAGATCGCGTCTTGTACATCGATCAGAATTGCTTTTCCACACGAACGGCAATTTCGGCACAGCGATGCGCAAAGATACCGCCGACGCTCTCCTGGGAAGAAGCAGCTACTATGCCCTGCGTCTATGCTACCGTTATCCATTCTCTTTTAAATCTTGGAAGGTTACAAAGGGGTCAGAGTATCCTGATACACTCAGCTTGTGGTGGAATAGGTCTAGCAGCGATCCAGATTTGCCAGACCATAGTTCGTGCAGAGGTATGAATTGTCACTCACATGAAGCATCGCACTATTGCCATGTAGAAGGATTACTAACGCAGACAGATATATGTAACCGTCGGCAATGAAGAAAAGGCCCAGTACCTGATGGACACATTCGGTATTTCTCGCGATCACATCTTTAATTCCCGCGACACTTCATTCCTACCAGCTATTAAGGCTGCCACCAATGGCCGGGGCGTTGACCTAGTACTCAATAGTACTTCCGGCGAGCTTCTACATGCCTCATGGGAGTGTGTAGCTGAGTATGGAAGCATGGTAGAGATTGGGAAGCGCGATTTCATTGGCAAGGCACAGCTAAATATGGACCTATTCGAGGGCAACCGGTGCTTCTTTGGAGTTGATCTTGCTAAATTCAACGATTCCAGATGTCAGCTGTGGGTTTTGCCACGTCCAATCTCCGAAACAATATACTAACAATCTGTAGATTACTTGCCCAGATCATGGACTTTTATGCAAATGGGCAGATTAAAGCTATTGCACCCATGAAGATATTCGAAGGAGCGAAAGTCGAAGATAGTTTTCGTTCGTAAACTCAAACTCATTACTCTTACAAAATTCTGACATCATTCTAGGGTACATGCAGAAGGGATCTCACATCGGCAAGATTGTAGTGACAATCCCAGAACGAAACACAGAGCTACCGCTCGCCCTCGTTGTTCCTGAGCTGAAACTGAATCCAGATGTCAGTTATCTACTTGTGGGTGGATTAGGTGGTCTAGGTCGTGCTATCTCAACTTGGATGATAGAGAAAGGAGCACGACATTTAATCTTTCTATCACGATCAGCCGGAAAATCCGATCAGGATCAATCCTTCTTTCGAGAGCTTGAAAGTCAAGACTGTACTGTGCAGGCTATTGCAGGAAGCGTAGCAACATTTCAGGATGTTCAAAATGCAGTCCAGGGTGCATCGAAACCAATCAAGGGTGTTTTACAGATGTCGATGATTTTGAGAGATAAGCCATTCCTAGACATGAGTATCTCTGATTGGGAAGCTTCTGTACTCCCCAAAGTTGAAGGAACCTGGAACTTGCACCACGCGCTTCCGAAGGATCTTGACTTCTTTATAGCGACTAGCTCCCTCAGTGGCTCCTTTGGGAATGCTGGCCAAGCTAACTATGCAGCTGCGAACACGTTTCTCGATGCGTTCGTGCAGTACCGTCATAGTATCGGTCTTCCTGCGTCTGTTGTCGACATTGGTGTCATGGGCGACATTGGCTATGTTAGCCAGAACGCAGCCATCCAAGAATCACTCCGTGCAGCTGGAACTTACTTTCTTCAGGAGCAGGATTTTCTTGACTCTCTCCACTGGGCAGTTGTCAAATCTGCAGTAGAATCGAGTCTCCCTGGTAAGAGTCAACTTTCGATAGGTGTCCGGTCTAATAAACCACTATCTGATCCCAGCAACCGTGTGTCGTGGAAGAGAGATGCACGTATGGGTGCGTATCTCAACACTGGAAGTGCGGCGTCAGCCAATACTTCCAATGCAACAGACCAACTGAAGGGCTTCATGTCTGCGGTCGAGGCGGATTCCTTTATTCTCAACAGTCCAGCTTCTCTTGATCTTGTAACGAATGAGATCGGTGTTCGCATTTACACATTCATGCTACACTCAATCGACGAGCTCGATGTATCGCAGTCTCTCGCGGCACTGGGTGTCGACTCTCTCGTAACAATTGAGATCAGAAACTGGATGAAGCGAAGTTTTGGAGGGCTCGAGTTTAGCACCTTGGAGATATTAAATGCGGGAACTATCGAGGCGCTCGGTTTGCTCACAATTGAGGGATTGAAGAGGAAGTTTGAGATAAGGGACGGTGACAAGGAGATCAGGGAGACTGGAGATACATATTTGCTCATGAAAGCACCTTAGATTTCACGGAGCAAGGCCATCGATATGATGCAGAGTACATCCAAGTTCGGCCGCTATTAAAGGGCGTTGTGTTTGATATGGTAGCGTGGGTTGATTGTGATGCAGAGGCTGAAGACTTGAATTTTATCGCGATGAAAAGGTTAGGATATACCAATCATGATCAAAACAGCCGTGGAAGTTACAGAAGATGAGATATCAAATAGATGAATAGTTTGCACAAAAGATAGCATAATGGGAGGATTTTACACCCCATGAAAGGAGGTTAAGACAATGGCTAGCTGGATGAACCAAAAATACGATGCTAACCTCCATTTGCCTATCTATCTTAGTGCCATTCATTATCTTTGAAACTAAACCATATCTCAACTTGCCTTGGATGTTCCGAATAAATACCCATTGTTATTTTTCTAGCCAGATGGCGGCTCTTCTCAAGCCGAAATTCGACTTTGCACAGCAATCAAAGCAGTACAACGAAATTACTACGTAGCCCAATCCCCGGACCTAAACCTAGTTGGGGCATACTGGAATATTCTAAAGCAAAAAATCCATTGTCGAGGATGGAATTCCCTTGACGAGTTAAAAGAGTTCTTAGACGAAGAATGGAGTAAGATCACAATACAAGGGCACACGGTCCGATTTTAGACATCCCAAACTATTTTCGACTATTAGTAGAGACAAATGGAGCTCCAATCAATAATGTAGCGTGGTAGGTTTTGTAGTTCAATTAATAATTGAAGTGGGGTGATACTTACCTTGATTTTGATAATATCGGTGACTCGCGAATTCAGACACCCACCCACCGGTAGTCGCTTGAGAAACTAGCTTGCCCTTCGTATGCATTAGATCTTAATAAAGGGCCCATTTTATAGACTTCGAAAACGTACGAGGATTATAGTACCCAAGTAATACGTGACAAGATGCTTGAGAGCCTTAGGAATTAGTCCCAACGGGAGCATAAAGTCAGCTTGTCCCCTTCTTGCCTCACATTCTATCGAAGATTCTCAAAGAGCTCGTGAGCTGACAACGCCATTGCTCATTGAATGATCAGGAAAGTCTTCAATATGAATAGCATATCTTTCGCTGGAATTCTCAATGGCAACGCCAAAGATGTGCAAGCTCTGGCAGAAGCGGCAGCTACTCAGGGATTCTTCAACTTGGAGCTCGATTGTAGGGACGCAAAAGTACTGCAAAAAAATGTGAAGTTTCTTGAATCATTTGCAAAGGACATTCTCGACAGCCCCGAGAGTGTGAAGGCAGCTTACCATTTTCACCGGACAGGGCGCTTCCGAACCACAGGGTAAGACGAATTAAAAAATCAAACAAACTCAAGTTTATGCTAACGTTCAAACCAGGTTCAAGCCTCTCGGGATTGAGGAAGGAGCCAAGCAAGGAAGACCGGATGGATTCGAACTCTTCATGGTAAGTTCAACGCCATGCATATTATTTGTGATTGCTCACATTGAACGTGTAGTTACCTCAAAAGGAACTTCTACTTCCGAAGTTCAGAGAGGAACTCAATTGTCCCCCTTTGGTTATGTCAAATGTTGACACACTCACCAACTGCCTCATAGACTACGAACGAGCAGCTCAGATGATATTGAAGCGACTTACAGAGGGCCTCGGACTTGGTAATGAACTGTTAAACGCACATGACCCTTCTTTACCTTCAGTCACGAATATGGGGTTCATCAAGTATCCACCTCAACCCAAGGAGTCTGGGAATTTTGGGCATATTGCTCATACGGATGTTGGAAGCTTGACCATCCTGTCGGCAACCGAGAGAGGACTACAGACTCTCGACAACAACACTAAGAAATGGATATGGGTTGATCCCAACGATCAATGCTTGTTTGTACAGCTGGGAGATTCACTAAAATTCCTTTCTCGAGGCAAAATCCTGCCCTCGCTTCATAGGGTCGTGCCTAGTGATGTCGCACCTCAGGCAACGAAGTATACAGTTGCGTACTTTGTACGCGCAAACGAGGAGGCTGAAATCACTTCTGATGATGGAAAAGTATGGCTTTATAAGGATTATCACTGTAGAAAGTTTGATGCCTTTGCACGACCATTGGGCTATAGACCAGACGGAGAAGAGTCACTGATTTCATTGCGTGACTACGAACGAATGGAATAGGCTCTGCTGTTCTTTGGAAGCTCCCATGAATTTGATCTGTTATAAAATCATCAGTCACTGCCATCTGTACTCTAGCCTATATTATTAGCCTCTCATGCCCGGAGTACCTCTCAGAATAATAAGTCTCGGCTTCTCTTGTTTGTGTTGAAAGGTCAAAGAAATAAATGTGTTCAATACTATCTACATTTCATATCATATTTCATACTATCTTGAATTTATCTATGTTGTGATCATCTACACGTTGCCTAAGCCAGGCGTCTCCAGTACTCGTGTAGAAATTATTGCTAAACCTTTCTTTATATAAATATTCTGGGACTTCATTGCCAGCGTGTCGCATGCCTTTTTGAGCTTTTGGCTCAGCCCATCGATCTGGGATGGTATTAGATCTCGTGGCTATACCAACGTGATAAGATTCATACTTACATTCTCGTTGTTGAAGATACTGAAGTGGTCACCAGAAGTATCTACCGCATGTCGAAGGTTGAAGTTCTCATATTTGTCAAACCCTAACGCTCGAGTTCCACCGTCCTCGGATGCCTCACTGTCAGATGCCCTACTCGAATCCGGACTGCTCTGGAGGTCGGTGGCCCGAATTAGGATTGCGGGAGGGCATAGAGGTGATGTAGTATCATTGATCTGCACTTTTGTCGTCTGGGTTTGACCATCCAGCAACTGAGTTGCGGAACTCCGCCAGACCGGAGGCTTCCATTGCCTGCTTTGTAGTCGAGCCTCGTTCATACACTTTCGTGTCTTCTCTGCCATGTCTGGCCTTGTAGACGTTTCTTCCAAGAAGGCAATTCTGCGCACCTTGGTGGGCTCTCCTTCTACAGGAAATGTGCTATCAATCATGACGATACCAGTCACGTCTAGCTCAGGATCACTGGATAGAAGCTGTGCAATCTGTATAGCAATAAGGCCGCCGAGAGACCAGCCTAGAAATAAGGTCAAATTATGCAAAGCCCGGACATGACTTTAACCTACCACCTAGGAGTATATCGCCTGAAGGATAAGTCGTTTTGATCAACTTGGCGTAGTGTTCCGCCATGCTTGCGATGCCATTTTCCCAAGTCAACTCAGTTCCGAAATTAGGGTTGGAGATTCCGTAGACAGTACGCCCGAGGGGCCGTAGATGGAAGTAAGAGAAAACCGTTCCACCTCCATCATGTATCAGAAACAAGGGCACTGGAGGTGCCTTCTGTGCAAAAGTTTTGCGATGGTGATGTCTCTGTATGAGTATTGGATTTTGATTCATTTGGGCGGTCTTGTGGAGTGAATGCGTAGAGAGCTCAATAACGAGAAAACCCCTCTGCTCGTGGTCCAAGGAACAATATAATTTAGTTGAGTCTAGAAACAGGCTCTATGGCCAAGGCTATAATAGGTTTGGTCGAGTGGGACGCACGTGCTAACAGGAAATTATACTTAAACCTGTATACCTCTGTATCTGTTGCACCGTCAGAGTAATGCTTTTGGCGACAGGCTTAGTTCGACCTATGCTTGTTATTGCCAGCGCATCCTACAGTAACGGAGTGATAATTATTATAACTGCATCAGAAGTGTTGTTTGTTAGTGGGCACTATATGGGCTCCTGACCAAACTGTTTGAACAGCCTGCAGCATGACCATTCTTTTTGTGGATCTAGAGCCACGCATAGGCTTTGATCCTATCATAGTGATGCTATGAGTAGCGGCTGTTCTCGTAATAATCTGCCTTTAAAAGCCTACACTTTTATTAGATTTATATTCCTTGATCTGATTTACATTTACAAATTTTGTAAATGCAAGGAGGTTTAACCAAACGTATATAAAATGCTTCGACTTGAGGACAACATGCATGCATATGATCACGGTAAGCTTTTAGAGTAATGGGTGAGGCAATATTTGGATGCGACGATATGAGTTATGGTAGTATTTAGCAACTGATAAGGTCACCTCGCGTTTGATTCGTAGTGACTTTTCTAACATAAATAGTAGATTGGTACTTTGTAATTTGATACTCCGAAGCAGATGCTACCTAGCTTTTACCATATTTCGATAGCATCACAAAGCTGCCTTTGACCTACGTCTGATCATGACATGATCTTGAGGGGCACCAGGTAGGATCTTTCTGAGCGCGCTTGTCTTCTCCGCAGCCTTCTCAAATTTGATCTCATACTTGGAGAAGAGATGGGCAAGGGTGAGTTTCAGCTGATCGGTCACATACCATCTGCCGGGACACGAGCGCCTGCCGAGGCCAAAAGCTAGGTATTTCTCATTCCCTTTCCACATTGGATTGGGTTTACCTCGAGGATCCAGTTCTATGACCATGAATCTGCCCGGATTGTAAGTCGTGGCGTCTTCATAGATTGAGTTGTCAACATGAATGCCAGCTGCCGATACGCCCAGTCGAGTACCGCAAGGCACATGCATGCCGTTTTCTAGTGTAACACCTTTTGGGAAGACCACTTGGCGCATGAGACCTGGAAAGGCGACTTGGAGGCGGAGAGACTCCTTAATGGCGTTTTCAGTGAGAGTCAGTTTTAGGACATCGCTCTTGCTGGGTTGATAGTTGCATCCTTCCAACATGGCCGATACCTCTTCCTGGACAGCTTTTAGGAAACCTCCCTCACCGCCCATGGTGACTAGGTCCAAGATGCTCCTAGTCATTGCAGCAGTAGAAGTTTCGATGGCGGCCAGATTAAGCATCGCAACACGTGCAACTAATAATTTGTCGATGTTTGCTGAAGATTCTCCTCGACGAATCGACTTTTGCACCATCCATGTTAGCAAGTCATCAGGCAGTTCTGTTTTTTCGCCAGCACCCTCGAACACGTTCTGCACATCAATATATCGCTGCCTTATTACTCGACGCAGGTGTGATGAGAATCTTTTCATCCCATAGATGTCGTTGAACGCTTTGGTTACCCTTGAAAGCGGTCCTTTCAAAACTTTCGGTATGAGATCCTGAATCACAGTTTCTGGCATAATCACCATTGATAACCCCTTGGCAGTGCGTATGTAGTCTTCATTTCGACCTGGGGTAAGGCTTGTCAGATATTGCAATAAGAACAGGCTTGGGTGCAGTATAGGATCGACTTACATAACTCTTTGCCCACAAATACTCTGTTGGACGTCCGCGCAATGATTGTCTTCAAATCATCCGCAAGAGAAGTGGTTTTCCATTCAGGCGAGGTTCCCAGTACATCATCTAAAGCGCAAACAATTTCTTCGTTGATCACAGGGGTTAAGATTTCCAGGTTGAGAGTTAGCTCTCGTCGTAATAGCTCCTGCACGGTGTGATCACCGGTAAGATCGCCTCCGACAAAGACATGAAATTCGTCGTGTATCGGATCCAAACTGATGGTGGATTCAGGTTGGTCGACAATCCAGCGGATGAATTTGGGTGGCAGAAGCAACAAGGGACGTCCGAAAGGAACCGCCAATGCTGCAGCTTTACCAAGTTTATTGAACTGTAGGCAAGTAAGTACAATAACTTTGAGGCAGGTCTGTAGTTTGAGCATACCTTAAAATACGCTTCAAGTACATTTTCTTTGTTTCTCCCTAGGGACCGAATTTTTGCGCGAAGATAGGATAAAGGCTGTTTGCGACGATCAATCCATTGCACTTCATTTGGGATTGAGTATTCCCAGGTTGTCAATTTGTTAAGCACATAGGCGAAAAGAACAAATAGGACAAACCCAATTGCGCCGTACTGGAGATTTGTGGAAGCGAGTACTGAAACCATTCTTTGCAGCAGACTGCAAAGATAAAAATTGAGCGAGACAATGTGAGAGAGTTGAGAAGAATCTCGAGGTGGTTTTGCAATGAGTTCAGGAAACGGCTGTTTACAGAGCCGAGATATAGCAAGACCGGTACTTGTAGTGAGCATCCAAAAGGTGCCGTAGATCTAGAAGACCGTTTTTCTGGGCGACCTTGGAGACACGTTAAGGGGGGCAGGTTAGGTCAGCAGCTCACCTATAAGATAGTCTATCTTGTGGCTTTGTCGGGATTATGTAAGTACGGCATCGATAAGGCGGCCATTCATCCGTTTCACACCAAGCCACTTCCGCACCCCCTACCAAGGCCCGGATAGATTGTATTTAACAATTGACTCAAAACGTATGATTTGTACGTTTTGACCAGTCTAAATATATATTTTACTAGGAATTAGTAGTAGTATTAGATGTTTAGTTAAGAGCTATGTCAAAAATACAGATTTAAGATCAACCTATTCGTTCTATATAGCTAGACGAGGGGATAGGCACTACTACAGGGCCTCGCTATAGGCCTTGGTACACTGTATCCAGGGCCTGGGGAACTGCAGCCATCTAACTCAGCGGCGCGGTTAGCCACATCCCCTCCCCAGTTCTTCCCCCCAGGCCTCCGGGCCTCCAGGCCCTGTAGCCTACGCCAACCACCGACTATAGCGCAACCTTCGAGAATGAATGAAAGAATGAAAAAAGAACAACCAAACCCTACCAAAAATACGCCATAGATATCATATGTCGAACGCTCTAACAGCAGTTGCCGCAAACTTCAAGTCACCAAGTTTAGTATCCGCCTGGCAGATCATTTTACGTTCTCACCTGCATAAATCTGACCTCAGAAGTGCTCCGTCCCGTCGCCGCCAAACGCCATAGGACTCTAGCGGCCTATCTGACTATCGACGACTTTGCAGTCTATTATACTCAGCACTATTTGAATCAGCGACTCAATTTTGGCGCTTACTGGTTCATATACATTTCAAAATGCTTTCAGACACGATTTCTCACATAGAGCGTGTCATCGGTGAACAGACTTTATTCAGCGGCGCACTCAATCTTTTATTCATAAGTCTCATCGCTCAGCTTGTTCTTGCACACTTCACAGTCCATGGCCGATTCTGGAATGCTCAAGCATGGACAGGTGTTCGTAAGGAATGGCTTCCCAAGATAAGAGCAAAATTCCGCTCCATCGGCGGCATACGCCAGATGTTAAGCGACGGCTATGAGGGTGTAAGAATTTGAGACACATGGAGCTGTTAGTAGTATCCCAGCTAACAAGTCAAAAGTTTTCAAAGCAGAAGAAAGCGTTTGTTTTGCCAATGATCGCCGAGGAACCATGGCTCGTGTTACCTCCTTCTAGCATTCCTGAGCTTCTCGCGAAGTCGGATTCAGAGGTCGACATGAAAATTATCCACGAGGAGCAACTCCTACATAAGTATACAACAGGTTCCCTCGGCCGTCACGTTGTCGATGTGCCCATACAATATGATATTCTCCATCGTCAAGTGAATCGAAAGCTTCCTCTTTTGATAGATGCCTTTTACGATGAGCTTGATCATAGCTTCAGACAACACTGGGGTACTGACATGTCTTATACGGAGGTAGGAGTCTCGGCGACCTGTGGGAAAATCATCACTCAAGCCTTGAACCGGATCTTTGCAGGCCAGGAGATCTGTCGGGATGAGGACTTCTTGAAACACTCCAAACTGTACTCCGAAGGGGTCGGCAGTAGTGCAATTATTGTGCGCATGCTTCCACGGCCGCTACAACCGCTACTCGCACCACTTATCACCTACTCGAACCGCAAACACCACGATATTTGCATGAGAGTCTGCCTCCCAGTGATAATAGATAGGCTGCAGCATACGGCTGCGAAGCGAGCCGATGCTGGATATCTGTGGGAGCCACCAGTAAGTCGTGTGTTCCGTATTGGTCAACAGGAAACGTAGACTGACACGGGATTCAGGTCGATGTACTTCAATGGATTATCGACGAATGCTTTGAGCGTAATGACCCTAAAGAGCTTGATGCTCACATGATCACCCAACGATTACTCAAGCTGAACTTTGTCGCCGTCGAGACCACCCACATGTCCATGGCCCATACTATTCTCGACCTTTACCGCTCGCCCAACTCCGACGAATTTGTAGCTGGTCTTCGCCAAGAATGTGATTCTGTGCTTGAAGCAAATGATGGCCAGTGGACCAAGAGTGGACTCGATGACCTTGTATGCGTTGACTCAACAATCCGCGAGTCGATGAGATACTCGGACCTTGGATACATAGCATTGACCCGTATGGTTGTCGATCCCCATGGAACTCAATTCAGTGTCAATGGCATAAATAGCAGCAGTCCATTGACCGTACCTCCTGGCATTCGAGTCTGTGTGCCGGCGCATGCAATCCACCGAGATGCTACACTCAACCCTTCACCTCACGAATTTCAAGCCTTCCGCTTTGCCAAGTCTCGTGAGAAGGATGGGCAAAGAGAAACAAAACTTTCCGAGCCCAAGGTATCCATCGTCACCACAACAGACAAGTTTCTGCCCTTCGGCCATGGCCGTCACGCATGTCCTGGTCGCTTCTTTGCCGCACAACAGATGAAGCTAATGCTGGCGTACTTGGTGCAAAATTACGATGTGGAGAAGTTATCCACGAAAGTCGAAAACAAAGTCATGGTGGGGACCGCGACGCCTGATGCCAAATTGAAGGTCAGGGTGAAAAGACGGAAGGGCTACGCATGAATCTATAGGTCTACCGTTTGTGTTTCGGGCGAAGCTCATCGTACGATGGAATCATATTAAGTTAAATCCCGAGGTTTTATATATAACTTTACTGAGTGTGGCTCCATCATCCATCAGCTTGAACTCAGGATTATTTCATCCTTGGCCCTAATTATTTTCTAAATATATTGAGATAGGTGAGATGTGGCTGATTCCATTCACATTCTATGGTATTCATTTCCCCTTTTTACAAATTATACCAACCCCTTTTCGCTTTAAGTGACCCGACAATAAATTATATCGGAACCCTTTACTTATTAGAAAAAATTGGTATACCTCTAATCCTGTCTGCGGATATTAAAAACTCAAGCCATTACACAGCTTTAAAGCCCGCATAAAATGTCAGAACACTTGCCTCACCACAAACTATATAGCCTGTAATGTAGGCGAGTCTAGAGGAGCGTACAATTAGATCGCGAAGGTAAGACATAAGTGTACATACCAGTACTATGAAGCTGTAAAACTACTAGCAACTGCTTCATCTTATTCTTATGTAGCTTAGATCTCGTTGTATATTCCTTCTCAAGCTACTTAAAACTCTTTAAATAATATCTGAATGTTATTATTCTGTAGCCTTCGGGCTAATAGACATATCTGTATTATTCTGCGCCCACAGTAGCGATGAGTTCAAATCCTAACTAAATCGCCTGGTACATCTATTTCTTGGCCAACCAAACAGCCAAACCTAGCACACTAAGAGCTGCGACAACCTTAGCTCCTACACGCAGCAGGTCATTGTTGTGAGTTTCCTTAAATGAAGCTGAATCATTGACCCTCGGAAATTTCGCCTTCGGCTGCTCCACCCCTAAAAATTCGCAGAGTGGACCCCATCCCTGCTTGACATTGAACTCTAAGAACTCTCTCCCTTTGGCTCGAGTTCTTATATCTTCATTCCAGTCATCGTACCATTGGCGGCCTTCGACGGGAAAGTTTCCAAGAGGAGTGTGCTCGAATACATTGAAATGAGGCTTGGGAAGAATGGCTTGGACGAGTCGCTGGGTTAGAGTTTTTGGGGGGGCGCGAAGGAAGTTGGAGACTGTCCAGATTGTGTTGAAGACGGAGTCGTACCAGACATCACCGTTATCCCGTACTGTGAGAATCACTTTTGCGTCGGGGTAAGCGGCTAGGAGTTCTGGGGCGAAGGAGATGCCGGGGAAATCTGTAGTTGCCTATGTGCATTGTCTTAGTAATGAAGAAATTTTGTGCATTGTAAATTGTGCATTATAAATAGTAGTTAGAATCAGGTGGCTCATACCATGCAATGGCCCAAGAGTGCGTCAAATTCCTCCTTTCCGTAGGGTTTACCAATCCCCTTGTATTTTGCATCGTAGGCCTCTTTCCACAGCTCCGCGTCGAGGGGGTTCTCTGTGGTCACACTAAACATATGGTAGACATCGTTAAGGCCCAGCTCAAAGAGAGCAGCGCGTAATGCTGTAAGTGTTCAGCGAGGGAATCGGAGTGAAGTCAGTGTTTGGTACGAACAGGAAGTGCCAGTTCGACAGAGACCTAGACAGATAACTTTCATAGGGACAACTCTTTTGCATGATCGGCGATCTATATTCGTCTTCGGTCTTAAAAGTCCCATAGTCGTGAGCTGCCCATTCTGAAGGTCTGAAGCCATCATAGATAATTATGGTGGAAGTTGTGATATTGTATTAAGGGATCATGTTGGGTAAATAAAAGAATTTAAGATCGAGAGGAAGGACAGGTTCTTAATCCATTCCAATCACAGGACCCTGTCAATGTCGTGATGCTACAACTATAATATTAATTTCGGAATGCTACCGTGCGGCTCACTCAGCCTAGGCCATTAGCCGGGTCCCCAGCTGCGCACGTTCGCGAGACACTGTCTTACTCATAGCCAGGTTTCAATCTTTAAACATATCGCGATAAATTGAAACGCTGGGCATACAAGCCAAGCTCGTAGTATACGCCACCGGTCAAATGTAACTCTATTCCGGGCATTAGAATCCATCTAATTTTGACCTGCGCAAGCTACTTTACAACCCACTTAGTATACACTACCCAATTATTCGACAGGCTATTCGACCATTTACAAATAGGAAATTATTATTCTTAAGAATATAAAACGTATGAATTAAATTATAAAGATATCTTAATAATTAAAAAGAAGTATTACTTTAGATAGCTAAAAATCACAAAGTATTAAAAGTATATAGTTATATAGTTTTACTCCAATTTTACTCTAACCTTTATTCTTTTTATATATAGCTACATAAGAACTATACTGAATTATATATAATTATATAAAGTCATTTCTATATAATAACAATATAGGTTTGACGTTACTATATAACTATATAAAATATAAAATTCGATCCCTAGCCTTAACAAGTCGCTATATAATCAGACTTGCCAGTAGGACTTTGCTTGAAAACAATGTTACTTATAAGTGTAACTCTTCAGAGCAGCAACCACAGCATCTCCAAAGTCTGCCGTGGAGGCATTCCCACCTATATCAGAAGTTCGGCAGCCCTCTTCGATTACCTTGCTAACCGCGGCTTCGATAGAATCAGCCGCTTCCGGCATCGCCAACGAGTACCGTAACATCATAGCCGTAGACAGTATCATACCTGTCGGATTTATTATTCCATGACCTGCTATGTCAGGTGCCGACCCTAGATCACGATAAGCATCGTGTCCACATATCAACTGTGTGACAGGTACTACATGTACTTACCATGGATGGGCTCGTAGATGCCATGGACCTTGCTGCCATCAAGCATAGTCGGAATCGCGCATAGACTAGCACTTGGAAGAAGACCCATACTCCCTGGAATAGCACTCGCCTCATCGCTAATGATGTCTCCAAACATATTGCTGGTCAATATTATGCCATTCAAACTTGTTGGACGACGCGCCATATTCATTGCAGCAGTATCAATCAACATATGGCTCAGTTTGACTGTCGGAAATTCAGTTTCGAACACTTCCTTCACCACGCCTCGCCACAACCTGCCACAGGCTGCGAGCAGGTTCGCTTTGTCTAAGCTTATCACTGGCAAGGGCGGCTCTTTCGACATCGCCAGCTTTCCCGCTAGACGTGCCGCTCGTACAATCGAGTCACGATCATAGTGATCGAGATCGGATGCTGAATTGAATGAGCCATCATGCTCTTGGCGTTCACCGAAATAGATACCGCCGGTGAGCTCACGCACAATGGTGATATCTGCACCACTGACGATGTGCTCTTTGAACGAAGAACAATGTACTAGGGAGGGCGCAATGAAATTCACTGGGCGGATGTTTCCGAAGGCATCCAAAAACTTTCGAAGTCTACCGAGCCCAGATTCAACTGGGACTAGTGTTCCATCCCACTTCTATGTTTCGACGACAAGTCAACACATGTCGACAGCAACATACATCTCACTCATATATGAATATATATGAATTTGTAGGTGCTGGTTGGTTGCGAAGAAGAACTTACTGGACCACCCACAGCACCCAGGAGAACAGCCGAGGCCGCTTTTGCATCGTCAAGAGCGTCTGTTGTGATTGGAGTGCCATGAGTATCAAATGAAGCCTATCTTGCGTTAGCGTCGACTGGAGTCGAGTGGGAAGCAAAGCGCTATGGCGAGACAAATGGCTCCCACATTGGTAGACTTACTCCGCCAATCAAATGATATTTGAGGTTGAAGGACACATCTAAGTGATACTGGCGTTCAATCTCGCTTAATACCTAGCAAATATCAGTGAGTGATGCTTCATCAACAGTATTTTGTCATCCGCATCGGAAAGAGAATTCAGTACCTTGAGACCCTCTGCCATAACCTCAGGACCTCCATAATCTCCTGGGAAGACAACAATGTCAAATTCCTTTGTCATTGTCGATGATATCGATTTAGAAGAGAAGTTTCGAGTGGGAATTCGTCCTAAATCTTGCTATGTGTATAGATGGAAGTGGTCAGATACTCGACAATGTAATAAATATATGTAATGTATAATCCTCTGTGGATAGGATAGGTATATGGTTGTTAATCCTTTTTTTGACCCTGCAGGTAGACGGAGCTCCACTTTATGACACCCGGACCTACAAAGTTTAGAATTTAAATTAGTAATCACATTTATGTACTACCATCGTGATATTCTTCAAGCTGCAATACGTGAGAAGTCTGTGCCACGCACCCCATGTATGGTTAGGTTCAAGTAAAGTATGGAGTGAATTAAGATGTTAAAAAGTATAGTTAGCGTGTTCTAGTAATTAAATATAGTTTATAAAGGTTATTGTATTGGTCGTATTTAGTTAGGGGCCTTAGTAAATAGCTGTAAATATTATCATCAATATTTGACTTTATATATTATAGACATTGCTAGTTATTTACTATGACATGCCCCATCTATAAAGCGTAGCGGGTTGTACCTCTGTTGCTTGGAGATTATATAAACTCCGCACATGAACAGGTTAGAAACCACGGTAATTAGGCTACATTCATTTTTAGACAATAATCACTGAATTCACGCCCACAACCAATATAAATCTACAATATTGCGGTATACTTGTGCGCCTATCATGCTAGCGTTATAGCGATTTCATGGTATTAACGCCTTTCTTGAAAAGACTTGATGCTTTCTGACCACAACCACCTAAAGTAAAAGCGGTTGCACCATAGCTTTAACACTTGTTTTAGTGTCCCTAGTCTCTATATACCTAGTCGTGGCCTCATCCATGTTGGAATATGACTTTGTGATGATCATCAGCAAACGTTTAGCCCTAGATCAAGCGAAAGATTCGACTTACTCGCGCCGCTGAGACGAGAGACCCATTCACGGCTGCGTCTCTATTGAGGCCGACACCGACGCCCCATAGACCGTGGGCAGTCTTCCCAATCTCACACTGCACAAAAGCTACATTCCAGGGTTGTCCTCCATCATGAGATGGTATGACATGTGATAATGCCACGGTGCAACGGACGTCAATGCCCAATGTCTCGGACAGAACCATGGCTGCGTTGTTGGCAAGTGCTGTAGCATCTTCGAGCTCTTGTTGCAAACCAGGAATCTGGCTGAAGTTGCTGTGAAGACGTTCGAGCATTTGAGTACTGTATGAGCTTTTCAGATCGTAGACTTCCAGGAACAAATCGCAGATCTCTTCTGTTGCCAAGCCACGTTCAAGCGAGCCTGATTTGCTCTTAACCATTCGACTGTAATGAGCAGCTAATTCGTTGGGTATGTTGAAGCCTAATCCTTGCTGGATCAGCCAAGCTACGCCACCCTTGCCACTTTGGTTGTTCACTCCAATGACGCAGTCAAAGGAAATTCCCAGGTCTGCTGGGTCCAGAGGTAAGTAAGGCACTCGCCAGGTACCACTGGCTTTTAGCCATTTTGATGTCCTGTTGCTGATCATGCCTTCTGTGGTCTGAGATGGCATCGCTGCTAAGCGACCACGTCTTGCTAGGCCTTTTCGAATCGCATCTTGATGGGCCCCAGCGAAAGCTCTGAAGTAGAAGTCCCCGGCATACGGCTGGCGTGGATGAACAGGAAGATTTGTGACCTCCTCGTAGACCCGACGGATCTCGAGTAAGTCAGAAAAGTCAAGGCCGGTCTCAATGCCTAGAGTGAACATATTCATAGCGCAGGTGACGAGATCAAGATTGCCAGCACGCTCTCCATTACCAAAAAGACACCCTTCAACACGGTCGCCACCGGCCAAACAAGCCAGCTCTGCAGAAGCGATAGCTCCACCACGATCATTATGAGTATGGATAGAGATACACACTTTCTCTCGCTCGGTAATGTTCCGCGAGAAGTACTCGACTTGATCTGCAAAGACGTTTGGTGTCGCTGCTTCTACACTTGTAGCGAGACCCAATATCACAGGATTGTCGTTTGATGGCCCCCAGGCGGTCTTGATTATCTCTCCCAGGCGTAGTGCTGCTTCTGGACGGGCATTGGCAAAATCCTCAAACCCGAAACCAAAAGACCACAGTGTGCGGTTGTCGGGGTCATCTTTCGTGATTGAACGAGCATATTCCACGCATCTTCTTGCCTGTTCCAACCATTCTGCTTCGCTTAGTTGAAGTACAGTCTCGCGGTAATTATCGCTGGTGGCCAAATAGAGGAACAGGATTGCTCGTTTGGCGCCCGCTAGACTTCGCACTGTAGTCGCAATAGCTTCTTCTCGACATGGTGAAAGGACCTCAAGTATCACATCGTCTGGCACCGCGCCTGGTGTTTCTATGAGCTGGCGAGTGAAGTCGAATTCGGTTTGTGACGCGCAAGGAAAGGAAACTTCGATTTGTTTGAATCCTATTGATACCAGAAGTTGGAACATTCGCCATTTCTGCTGCAATGTCTAAGTTGTCGGACGGTCAGTCAGTATGATGTGTTTCTAAACGGTAAAGAACGAATGGATCCGTATTGCAGGTATTATTAGGGAAGGTACGAACCATCGGATTTGGAAGCGCTTGATTTCCATCTCTGAGATCTGTAGACATCCAGATTGGAGACTTGGTCAGTTTTTTCGATGGCCACTGTCGGTCTGGAAGCTGAATGTCGGGCGCTCGTTCGCCATATTTGCTATAAAGACTCTGTCCACCTGCACAGCAAGTCGCCATACTGTATCTTCCGTCTGCGGACTTCATATTACTCCACAATATGGATTAGGGCTTAAATGTAATTTCCAAAACAAAAAAGGGCTAGTAGAATGGCTGTGATCGAGGCAAGATGTCACTTCACATCGATGGTCTTGACATTGTGATACCTTAGCAAAATCCAAGTAATCTTTAGAATTTCGAATGGACCTTCTTAGTCTTGTTGGTGGGTATGATTTACTACTACCAGGTCAATACCTCAGATATGTAGCTGTTTTACAGCTTTTGTTAAGCAAGGCACTAAGTAAGTCTGATCTTAAACAAGCATGGTCTTCAAACTCTGGGAGGGTACTACTAAGCAGAGGATCAAGTGTTGTCTGAAACGATAGGTGATTACATATACTATTCACGGAGTGGGCCACCCGGCCAGATATGGAGCCCATCCCTTCAATTAGGGAACGTGACATTTCCAGGGCGGTCATAGGCGTGGCGTCTGTAGAACGTCCAACCTGTGGGCGTGAGATCATCAGCGGTCCTACGGGGTCCGTTGAGGCGCCATAGTGGAGCTGGTAAGATCAAGTATGTGATGGTAGAAGCCTGAACAGGAGAAGACTGTTAGAGAGCAGAGATTTAGGCCAGGGCGGTGTTGAGTAAGCAGTTAGAGGTCACATGGTCTGACAGGAGCCGACGGCCCGCTGAGTTTGTCACATGTCAAATTTATGGCGCAGGGGTTAAATATATGATCGGTCTCTGTTGAATTGTGACTACAGTACCTACAAAGATGCAGCGAGTAGCCTCCAAGAGTACGCAACTTTTTTCAGATTACAACCCCATTTGGTATCATTGTGATGAATAAGCTCAGTCGCTTTTTGATGTAGACTATGCACAGCCAAGCAAGCGCTTAGTCAACTCGAGCTTCTTTCACACACAACATCAGTACTCGAAGCCTTCTGTACAATGACGATTCTTTGAGCCTATACAAAACTCCCATCGTTTTATTATAATGCTGTCGATTGCTAGCTTTGAGAACGACTTCTATGGCTTGCTGACCAACTTTATCCAGCCTCTATCGTCGGATACCAGGCCTTGCTGTATGTCTCGGAGCGCTTTGGACAATCGTGAAAAGCAAGATTTCGAGGATGAGTACTCAACGGGATATATGATATGTTCGCCAGTTGACCGCTGAAGTATCGATCCTATGGGTACCAGAACCGCGGCGGTGCCAGCGGCATACACCTCCGAGAACCGAGCCACTTCCGAAAAAGAGATCTATGAGATTGTCAGTGGGGTGTAATAGTCTGCAGACAGATTTATTGGGTAAATGCTACTCACAGGTCGCCTTTCAACATGCCAGTCGAACGCTCTCGCCACCTCGCAGATACTGTCGACGGTTATACTTGGCACGACCTGCTGGCTGTCTGATACCACAAGTATTGGAACTTCACCATCGTTCAATACGCCGATGAATCCGCTCGTGGAGAACTCATCGATCAAACTGTGGCTGAGAGAGTCAAGATGTAAGGTAAGATTGAACCCTTGCTTTTTTGCATCGTCAATCAATCCTAGCACAGGTCCGTAATTGCCTCCCACTTTCACGCTTCCTGTGCCTAGGGGAGCTGCACGGTCAAAATCCTCGATCACGAGCACGTCGGCCCCTTTGTCGATGCCCTTGCCGTGAAGAGGCGCCACAGGCAGTACGTACACGCAGAACATGAATTGAGTCGCTAGGAACAGCCCCACAGTCGGGCTTGAGGCGAATGCTATGGGTCGTATGTACAATGACGCTCCTGTGCTGTGAGGCGGTACGTACTCTGTATTCATGCCAACTGCGATGTTTACAGCTCGCTGAAACAAATCGGTAGGTACCGGTGGAATGGAGACACAACGGGCAGAGCGTGCAAACCGCAGAGCATTTTGATCAGGTCGAAATAATTGAACTTCTCCAGACGGATTTCGAAAGGCCTTCATTCCTTCGAAGATTTGTTGCCCATAGTTCAAGCCTGGTGCAAGGCCATGGATTGGAAGATATGGATTGGCAACGAATACTGGTTCTGTCCAGCTGCCTGTCTTGCTTGAAAAGGTGCATTCGACATGGCCATTGACTGTCAGAGTCAAAATGCAATTCAATTAGTACAAAGACACATATTATAGCATAGGCTTATGAGCATCTTCTTACCTTCAACAGGTTCAAATCCTAGGTGATCCCAATCTGAAAGGTACGTCAATTTAGAAGTGTCAATCAACGTATGTGAGGCGAGTAACTCACCTACCCCCTGAAGTGGTGGGAGAGGGAAATTTGCTGCCTTCATAGTTTGTGGGCTTTGCTCAATCGTCCTTGGGTGTTCTCTGTTCACTCTGGCTGGGTGAATTTTGATGTACAGTTATGGATGTGTGTGTTATGTATAAGAAATTTGAGTAGACTTTCGCATTCTACAATATAGCCCAGGTATTATTGAATCAAAACTGATTTCAAAGCCTTGGTAATTAGTATGTCTTTTGAACTGTTTCTAATCGCGTGGCATACGAAAATAATATGGGGCGGACAGAAGCGCTGCTATGGATGACGCCATATTTGGTATGAATTACTCGTGTAATATACTTGAAGTAATAAGTATAAAACTTCAAGGAACATGTGTTTGTTCCGACAAGGCTTAATGGCCCTTGTTGAACGTTTACAGCATTCGTTGAGTCTAACAGATCATCGCATATTTATTAACTATAGAGTTCTGCATATATCTCAAATACCACACCTTACTTTTAATATATCTTATAATCTTATATACAAGACGCTTTGTTAACTTATTTATTATATACGATGTATAAAAGCTGGTTTTATATCTAAAATAGTAGAGTTTTCTATTAGACCCTATCTTATACTATAATACACTTCACTCACACAAACTATAATATATAAAAATAAAGCAACAAAATATGTGGTATATATTGAAACATGTGCAGCAAAATGCGGTATATAAGATATATTCCGTCCTATTTCTACGCGTATGTACGTAGTAGTTTTGTCTGGTTGTACTCTAGCGCATTCATATGATCGTTGTACTTGCTCTCCCCGCCATTGCAGAACTCCGGGAGTGAGTCAACCAGCACGCTTCTGTCTGGTTTGCCAAAATATGCCACCGAATAGCGATCAGCCAACATCTCACCCGATTTGGCGCTTTTGCCTTCAGGCAAATGAACTTGGTGGTTGGCCGATCGTAATTGCCTGTTTGTCCATCGTTGTAAACAGTCGCCGACATTAATAATAACTTCGTACATACTGTTCGATTCCACTGGGATAAACGTGCCTAGATTTTCCTGATCCTCAACCTGTAGACCACCAACAGAGTCCTGCAATAAGAGTGTAAGGGTTCCAAAGTCTGAGTGCTCACCAATCCTCATACCGGATTTCAGGTCCTCGCAAGGTATAGAAGGGTAGTGATTTAGGCGAAGCTCACTAGCATCGGTCTGATGTTTTGATAGAAGGAGATCTTCAGGAAGATTTAACCCGGCCGAGATTGCTCGAAGGAGCTGGGTGTGGAAGTTGCAGCACATATCATAGTAATTCTCCATAAATTTTCGAAACCCTGGCAAGTCACCCTCATCGATCCAACGATTGAGGAAAAGCTCATCATTAACTGCACCCTGATCAAAAGATTCCTGCACCCAAAGTCAGCACTCATCGGTCCATGAACCAATTATCGATCATTGACCTACCCGGAACTCTGGAACGAAACCCTCGCTCTCTTCGTCTTTCTCAAAACCAGCGATTCTCGAGAGTTGCTCTTGCCCGACAGCACTCCAACCTCGATGCGGATTGGGTGCTGCAGGGTGACGCGCCTTCTGTTTGATCTCGTCGGGCAAGGCAAAGAAGCGTTTGTTCTAAAGATAAGTTAGAGTGCCGGTCTCATGAAATTGTGATCGTGCTAGACTCACATATGAAAAGAGCTCGTCTATGACAGCGTTTGGAATAGATGTGTTTCGTATCTTAGCAAAGCCCCAGGTTGACAAAGTGTCACAAAGGTTGTGACAAAACTTTTTGTATTGCTCCGGACTGCCATGCTGGAAGTCTCGATAGTCGAGTGTTTGAATTGCCATGGTAATGATAATGATAACTCTTACTCGGTAATTCCTAATGATGGACTTGAATTAGGCATGAGAGTGATCATGCGAAGATTGTATCAGCGCTCCCAATTTATATCTCAAGGGCTGGTAAGATACTTCGTCTGGAGTAAGACCATGAGCCCGCCCCCTGATATCCAAAATAGGGAAGGTCTCGAATTTTCTCCGGGCTACACTACTCTATGAACCAGGTGCCAAGTATGATGTTAGTATGGGGCTCTAAATTAAGTTAAAGTATGCCTATATCATCCAATTGCACCCACCGATGTCGCACTTGCAGCAGTCTTAGTCAAACGCTACAATTTGAGTGGTGCACAGGATTCTTCGATAGTCAATTGAGTGATACGACGAGGAAGCTACGTGGCTTGAATGTGTGAAATCTTACAGTTATTTTGGATTTTAATAGTGCGAATTGTGAAAATGCATAGTTGACCCACGCTCGCCTGGGATGATATCCGTAAGGTAGTCCAGCTTAGCTACACAAAGCCTTTATGCCATTGATAACAGTAGCTCAGGTTGACAGATAGCTATCTGCCTTTAATACAAATACTACTTTGATGTATGACTTCCTTTGACTAAGTTCATCTTCACTCATATCGGCGGACACAATGGATTGCATCAAGCAGTCGGAACACTCACAGCTATCTTCATTGTCCTTATCTCGACTCGAGGACAATAATCCAGAAGAATCGAAACGACTTTTTGAAGCATGTGTGAATGATGGCTTCTTCTATTTGGATCTACGGAATCACAAACAATTACTGGACGACTATGACGCACTGCTTGAAATCATGAAAACCTACTTTGACCAACCTCTGGATCAAAAGATGAACGACGATCGCAAAAGTGATACTGTCGGCTATGAACCCGTCGCAACCTCTGCCGGAGTACTAGATGGATTACCAGATTACTACGAGACTTTCAAGGTACCAAATTATTCCACTGCAGGGTTGATATTTACACATTGTCGGATACTGATGACTTTCAGGTCTCGTGGAATCAACTCAGAGATGGCGCTCCAGACATCCCCGCCGTTGTCGAAACTAATGTCGATGTGTTCGATCGCTTTGCGAAGTATGTCCACAGTATGCTTCTGATGATATTATCACGTCTGTCGGACGCGATGGGTCGCCATGGTAACAAACGCTTTGAAGCTTGTCATAGAGATAGCAGTGTTACCAGGACGAACCTCACTTTTCTCAAATACCCAAAGCAGGATACAACAGAACACGGCGTAGGCCACAACAGGCATACGGACGTTGGCACCTTGACATTTCTTCTCAGTGGGCAGTCTGGTCTGCAAAGACTCACATCAGAGAGTTGGTGTCACGTAGAGCCCCGTCCAGGTTTTGCAGTTGTCAATGTTGGTGACTCGTTGAGGTTTCTTTCGGGCCGTGTACTGTCGTCTATCATACACAGAGTACTGCCAGTCGGCCCACATCAAACTGAAGACAGATACACACTGGCATATTTCTTGCGCCCTGAAGATGAGGCAGTGTTCGAGGACTGTCATGGGAATTTGATCAGTGCAAGATCATGGCATGATCGCAAGTTCGACCATTTCAGAGAATCCCACGACCAACAGAAGAATGACTCCATCTTGATGGGGGGTATGGAGGATAATCAGAAGTTCTTACAGTATAAGTTCCAGGCTTAGATCCAGACTTTAGCAGTAATAACACCCCATAATGCTGTTGCGATAACAATTGAGTATATCTTTGTGCTTGGTGTCAGTTTGAAGCTTCATAATCCTGTCCTCTTGGATCATGTGGTTGAGGACGATTATTTTAGTGTAGTGATTTGCTATTAAAAACAGAGTGCAAGTGCTTGACAAGCTTACACATAAACCTTATTTGGGACATTTACAATTCTCAAGAAAGGGGTGAATTTAAATCACTTTCAACTTGGGAAGCCTTAGAGTGGTGTCTGATGTGGACGACACCAGGAACCGAGGAGTGATAAGACGCATTTTTTGTTGCACTGCAGCTTCCTCTAATCCGGATCACGTACCCTGAAGCAACTGTACTACTCGAGCTATATTTAATACGTGAACTCTAGTACAAAGAATTTTCCCATACATCCAGATTGTAAAGTATAGGAGAACCTTATCTAAGCAGTGACGAGTTGCTCCTTCAACTTGAACTTTAAAGCTTTCCCGTTGTGGCTCTTAGGGATAGCCTCGATGAATTTAATGTTTTGACGCAGCCAGTAAGGCTCGCTCAGCGAGTTTTGAATGTGTTTGGCTACAGCCAGCTTGAGAGTCTTCTCGTCAACGTCTGTCATGACCTTCAGAGAACGTACAACGAAGGCAAATGGACGTTCTCCAGCATCTTCGTCTGGTATGGCCACCACCGCTGCATCATCTATAGCGGGGTGAGCTAGAAGGTGTCCCTCGATCTCAACAGGAGGAACTTGAATGCCCTGTAAAAGGTATTCGTTAGCGAATGGATCTGTTCCGATAGGTATGTAGACAAGTGCTGTACTTTCACCTTCATAATATCTTTCTTTCTATCCACAATAAAGAGATGACTGTCGCCTTTGGCGTTCTCTTGGAAGGTTGCCACATCACCAGTTCTCAGCCATCCATCAGAATCGAAAGTTCCGGTATCTGTCGAGTCCTCCCAAAGATAATTATGCATAACACTGGGAGATCGCACGAGGAGATCTCCTGCTTGGCCATGAGCAGTGATGTCTGTGCCATCAGCATCCAGAAGTCGGGCTTCCACTAATGGGAGGAGACAACCAGCAGACCCAGGATAGTTGCTATTGGGGCTAGTCCATGACACGCAAACAAATGCCTCGGTTAAACCTGAAATATGTGAGCTGAACGGATTATAATGGCAAGATCACGTCGTAGTGCGTACCATATCCAGGGTTTATTTCCCATTCCGGACATATTTGAAGAATCGCCTTAGAAACCTGTTCGGGTAGGCTGGCAGAGCCACTGATAACACGCTTCACTGAAGATAGATCAAAATATTTGAACAATATCGGGTTCGTGACAAGTGCACCAATAATAGTAGGCACCTATGACTTCGTTAGCCATCACCTCCACCTTCGCAAGACTTGGGATCTAGGCTTAGCGGTCATGTGGTCAGTCTTACCAGGTACATCCTGCGAATTTGATACTGCTGAACTGATTTCAAAGCTAATTGCATATCGAATTTTGGATGTAAGATGATACAATCTCCTCTCCAAGTCAAAAGATGCTGAAGCATAAGGCCATAAGCATGACTGAGCGGCAATATTCCCAGGCTGACATCCGTTTGCCTAGCAAACGTATAAGCGTCGATGGTTACTGCTTGCAGCATATTCGCCATTACGTTCGCGTGCGATACCTTTGCAATTTTCTAAGATATAATATTAGACATTGGCAGCTCAATCCGCAAGTTATATTATATGTACGTACCAAAAACCCGGATGTACCACTGGTTGGGCATAGATAGGCCAGGCATTCCTTGCTTTTAAAGCCCTCCAAGTTCAGAGGCTGCAGATCAGGCAATTGCTCCCCATCTGCGATCAGCTGGGAAATTGTTCTGTTGGATACTGGGACTGGCGGCTCTTCTGGCAATTCCAGCAAGAAAAGATTGGAAAGATTGCCGTTTATCGCGGTAAAGGCAGTTTGACAAGGACCCAACAAGGGCTTGCAAGTAAACATGGCCTTGCAATTTGCCTTTCTCATCAAACTCTCAAGCTCAGCCGCCGACGATGTTGGATGAAGAAGCAGACAGGTTCCACCAATTCGATGAATGGCCCAAGTGAGAGGGACATAATCAATCTGACCGATATCTTAGCAATAATACACGGGTTTGAGAGGATCAAGTGCGCTTCTTCGCAAGCCGGAGTTTTCACATACTGAGTTCAAAGAACAGATGGCGACAACTTTGTCCTCGGGACTACCTTCATTGAAATCCCAACCTAACACCTGACCTAGGCTTTTTGATAGACACTTCACGTTGTATCTGATATCCTTTATCGAGTATGACCTGCCAGTGTAAGCACATATTGCGCTTGGGCTATCTTCAGACACGTCGTTGAGACCATGCCCTCTTCTCATAGCAAATTCGCCCACCAGCTCCTTGTCTGGAATGGGCATTAGAATGTCTCGACACCATGATGGCGATGTAAAAACCATCGCTAGTTTTGTGACAATAGTAGGAGAGACTTTCTGTCTGGTGTTTTGAAACGTATATCAGACCAAGCGAATAATGTGAGTTTTCTCTCTAGAAAGAAGGATTTTGATGCGGGTAGATGTCTGGAATGCAGATGAATTGAGGATCACTCGGGGACATGCAGAGATTAATAGCAGGATGTGACAAACTAATGGCAACTATAATTACGACAACTATGATATGCGCTAGTAGTGAAACCTGAGAGGGTATTGTACGGCCACGACAAGCTTCAGCTTGCGCTTCACTCATTAGTGGGAGGTGCCTTAGGGGTCTCTAACTAAAGAAGGCTCACTTAGTGTAGAATGTGATCCGCGACTGTTCTTATCTGGCGATACGATGTAAACCTATCAAGCTAAAATATCAGATTTCCATTTGCAGAATAGAACTGACCTGGCCATATGCAGGTGCTCCTTTCAAGCATATATTACGAATTCTTGTGCAACATTATTTCCGTCTTGACGATTTGATCGGTTCCTCGTCTAATCGGTACAAAAATCGGCATTACCAGCTTTCAAGGATTTATACAAGACATAGCTCTGCATCGTTGACCAATTAATGGTCCCAAAGGTTACAGATGGTTGAGCTACCAAGGGCTGACTGTGTTCTTACTAAAATCTTATATATTACTAGAAACCCTGTACTATATCTAGACGTTTTAGGACGAACACGATCATTAGCTATACTAACGATCTTCCTACGTGCCTGTACATTGGAAGTTAGACTTCGCCTCGATCAGTCCGCAGCAGGATGCAATGTAGTCGTACGGTTATGTCCAATAGATAAAAGGGTTAGAGAGTTTGGTAAAAATACGCTTTTACGCATTTGGGCTTTTTACGTATGGTCGCTTGATACACAGTAGCGTCATGTCATCTTATTCAATGTACCTATAGTCTAAAGAGCTTGGAGTAAGGCTGAATAAGCAAGTTTGGAAATCGGAGTGCGACGCTGCACGAACCAACGAAAAGATCTTCCTCGTAAGCGGTCGACAGTCCTCCGTACCACGCATTGGTCCGCTGGATACGAGTACTCTCTCGATCGTCAAGAGAATCGGAGTATTGTCCCGTACTGGCAAGGGTGCAGCATGGGTCTCCATGAGTGGGTGTGGAGATGGCAAGCCACTCGGCCCTCCGATGGCTTGGAGGCGTACCTTGATGACCCAACCCATGGCGGCCCCGTGGGGGGTGACTTTTCAAGTGGTGCCTATAGGGCATGTGACGTTATCATGTGATTATACACGGGATGTATATACGGTATAAACCTATGTATACAATTATATATACGTTCTTAATTATATACTAAAATCATATATAATAGTTATGCCTGTTTATAATTCTACCTATAGGGACCTATAGTAGAGATAGAGCAGATATTTTTCACTGCTTACTTCCCGTGCGCTATCGGGCGGTAAACTCGTCGGCCCGCCCGTGGCGGCGCCCTAACCGACCTGTGCCTGTGAAATGGGGCCCGCGCCGCCCTCCCGCACTCGCGACGTGCGGCTCGGTTTTCCCGCACGGGAGGCGGTGCCAGGGTTCCAGATGCAGATCATCGAGAATTACGTGAGGCACAGCGCAGCGGATCTGAAAGCTCCCGAGCATGAGACAAATTATTTAGGAACTTAAAAAATTCGGACTTAATTACGCATTAGACTTCATTATAACGATTATATTAGTTAGAACAGAAGTACTCCTTGCAGGTATGTTACAGTGGGTTATATTGCCGTTCCGGGCTTAGACTTCTAACGCGGTGTTCCAGGAGGAACGCCCCAAGACACGGTACTTTTGTACTTACGAAGTAGAAATGTGAAAATGTAAAGAGGTAGAGGTTGTGTACGAAGTAGCATAACGTGGGTTTGGGGCCCTGTAATACACATACACCTCAGCTAACTAATATATCTGCGCTATCCCAACTGTTGACTTCGACCACGACCCTAGTGGATATGTAGCAGGTCAGTATTGGCGTGTGGTCGTCGGGCGTGACAAAATCCACAGCACTGGTTTGGACCCTTCCACCCTAGACATATCCCATCTTCGTAGATATAAAATACGAGGATACAGTGTCGCTCATCTAGAAGATATCCTATATTTTTCCGCGTTAGAAGACAGAAATATTCACCATGCAGATAGAAACACTTGACTTTTCAAAGTTTCATGCTGGAACTGATGCCGAACGCTACGAGTTCTCAAAGGCACTACTGGCAGGTTTCGCAAGTACAGGCTTCGTGAAGCTCATTAATCATGGGTTCTCACGAGAGGAGATATCACGGATGTTTGAAGAGGTAGGATCGTACTCAAAATAGTAGCCTATTCGAATCACTGACTGTAACAGAACCGACGCTTTTTTGAACTGACTGATTCAGTGAAAGCACGAATCGCCAACGAAGATGGTCCAAAACCTCAAAGAGGATGGAGCTCACTTGGCGCCGAGAAGACTGGCCTACTGAACACAGGAGGCAAGACCAACCTCACCAAACCAGACATTGAAAGCCGTCAAGACGCGAAGGTACACCTAGCTGACGTCTCCAAGAGTTAGTATTGCACAACAATCTAATTGAATCCTCAGGAACACTTTGACATCGGTCCATCAGAAGATACGGAATTTCCTAACAAATGGCCGGACGATAAATTGATTCCTGGCTTCCAATCATGGCTGGAGTCCTACTTCGACAGGAGCCAGTGTATCACTCTCGCATTGATGGAAGCTTTAGAAATCTCTATGCATCTCCCGAAAGGCGCTTTCGTCCAAAAGTGTCAAGGACATGCCAGTGAACTCCGTCTTAATCATTACCCAGGGATAGCCGTCAAGATTCTTGAAGAAGGGAGAACAAGTCGTATCTGGCCTCACACCGACTTTGGCATTATCACTTTGCTCTCCCAAGATGATGTGGGAGGACTCGAAATCCAAGATAAGGATCACCCAGCAAACTTTGTACCTGTACCGAGAGAGGACCTATCTGAGTTGATCGTCAACATCGGTGATACCCTCGAACGGTGGACGAATGGGTTTCTGCAGGCAGGACTACACCAGGTAACGGCACCGCGGGAGATGTTGAATCGGAGTAACGAAAACCTGCTTCCAAGACGATCCATTGCTTTTTTTCTCAAGGCTCACAGACAGATGTCGGTGGGTCCATTACCTCAGTTTGTGGCAGAGAAGACACCTGCAAAGTATGAAGATATAACCGCCCTGGCTTATCAACAGAGGAGGACTGCGATCGTTTACTGAATAACAGTCAATTGAAGATGTTGAATATGAACTGAGGTTGGGTTCGCGGCGCGATCAGGGCAATAAAGATGCTTGGCACCATCAGTGGTTGATTAGAATGTCCAGCTTCTCTGAATAGGTTCACAATTAAAAAAGCAATAACTTTCATTATGTAGCAATTCATTGTATATACTACCATAGCCGTGGACTATGCTCGAAGAGTCTGTCTAATCTTAAGATTTCCTTGCATTTGCTTGAAACTACAACAAATCTTGTTAGACATGGCCCAGCTCGGTTTAGATACGTTTTCTATCTTACCAAGGATTATACAGAATTGTGAGAATTCCGTCCCAGTCAACGGCCGGGTCCCTCCGCTATCCCAGCACGGCTTTTTGATGCAAGCCCTTCCTTTCATATCGTTTTGCAGAGCTCGAGCAGTTGATCATCGTCGTACAAGCAGTCTTTCAACGAGTTCTCATCTGTTTCTTCGAGCTTGTACTTTTGTGTGACATTCCTTCTTGTCAAAATATCAAACAAGTCTTTGGATAGTACTTGGCTCATTTTGCACAAGAAGGCTCCACGTTGTTCCTTGAGGTAGTCTAACAATATCCTCACGACGTCGCTAGGCAGTTTTTCAACTCTGTAGGAGGTCAGAATACGGCATGCAATGAGCTGCAAGGTGATAACGGTGGCTTACTGGTCAATACTTATGGAGAGGTCTCCGGTAGCACACGGTATTAAAGCGAGGATAGCTCCGGGAAACTCTTCTTCGAACTGATACCAATTTCTTGCACATGACAATCGGTTCCGTAGCTTTGTCAACTTTCTGTTATACTCACCCCCGGCAGCAGTTATGCTGCCTTCTGAGTCAGGCTTAAGGTCCGGGTAAAGTGTCCGCATAAGGTCATTTAAAGCATGAGTTTTTGATCGGTACTTGATCTGATTATCTTTGGTAGATCTTGTATTTGCATCGAAATTAGCTTCTGCCCCCCTTTTCATGATCTCTATCCTTGCGCAGTCGTACTTCAGTCTCCTCTTGGTACCTTTTGAGGCCAGTTTGGCGGCTTTGTGGTTTGATTCTAGTTTCGAGCGATGATCTAGTAGTCGTACGAGATGATAACGTCGAAGGATATGTGATAGTGTCGTCGTGGAATCTAGCTGATCCAGCACACTGACCGTAGAGGCCAGGTCGTTGGCATCATTGTAAGCAGGGATGATGCAATTCTTCCGAGCAAGATCCAGAGCATCTCGGAGTTGCCTCAAGGCATCAGGGCTCCCAACAGCGTAGAATAGCCGGACGAGCAATGAGGCCAAGTGCTTCCTATCTTCGCTCAATCGCTGTCGGAAAATTTCGAAGACCTCTTCCGCGTGTGAAAAGCGACCGAAGGCGTATTCCAAACTCGAGTCTAATGATATAGTATTTGCTTGGGGATCTATCCGCCTCAAATTCCTTGGCGACGTGTATGGCCTAGCTCTCGCTTCGTTCCGAACCATGCTCACATTGCACCTCTCTCTAAGCTGTGAGCTCGCTCTACTGACCCGCGGTCTGATTTGTTGGTCACGAGGCGCGGTGTCTGTGGTCCGTCTTGAAACTTGCTTTCTGGGGCTTCTTTGTGAACACTTCGCAGGTGTAGGCTCTTGAATGCTACTGGGGCTTTCAAAAACTGATGACTGACTCGATGGGGTGTGCCCAAGTAAGTCACTGTTCATAGACCGCGAGCTTCTTGAATTTGTATCCGGCGATGACACTGAAGTGACACTTGTAGCAACATGGCTATTTGAAACCGGGTGCATTTGGTTGAGTTGGAGAGTATCACCTGCTGAATGGCCATCACTGGGGCTAGGCTGCGATTCTGAACTAGACGACGGCATCGTGGACAACCAATCATCGAAATTCGGTTCACCCTCAAAAAGGGCCAAGTATTCAGCAAAAAGATTCTCATGATCCTGGGTGATTGGGAAATTAGGATTTTGTGAAGACCAATCAATCAGATCAGGAGAGTTCATGGAAACATCTCCAAATGACGAAGCCTGTAAACAAGAGCCAGAAATATGACCTGTATTTTGTGTCTCAGCTCCAAACATATCTACGCATGCAGGATTCTCCACAGTCATCTGATTAGTACCACCAAAGTCTTCATATTGGGTCGGTACAGTGCCATCGGTAACTGATGGCGTGCTCTGCGGGCTTTGTGAGCAGTCCAACATAGGTTGATCAAACCCAACATCGATGCTGACTGTTGAAATAGCCTCCTCGGGGACATTTGAGCTGCACAGAGAGCTCGTATTCGCGTCGTGATAAGCAATTTCTGTGGAGGAGAGGGATGAAGCTGCATCCAATATGTCTCTGAGTCTCTCTTCGACAACCTTCTTTGCTTCGCTAAAGTCGCTTTGACATGTACTAGAAAGAGCGACTAACAACCGATCTCGAAAATCAATGCAGAGCTTCTTCGTTAGCTCAGCTCTAACGACCGTTCGGACAATCCTACCGTTTCGATGATCTCTACACCATCTTCATTTTCATTTTGTATAAGCGCTCTGCCAGGGCTTCGGGAAAGGTCCATTGTGACAAGGCCTCAACAAAAAGGCTACAGATCCCCGATCGATTTTAGGATTCTCACCCAGGGTAGAAGTATAGGCATTGCAGGAATCTTTATATGAGACCCTTTCCCTAGAAAGTTGACCTGGTACTACGTATTAAAGTATGCAACTGCTATCTAAATACCAGGGTAATTCAGTAAGCAAGCTAATTATATCGGTATCTCTCTCAGCCCTAGTATCGCCAATGCGGAGGTAAAACCCAAGAGTAATACGATTGCGGGACTCAGATTAGTCCGGGTAAATTACCCCAAGCAACCCGGTAACCGTTACAACCTGGTAGAACATGCGAACCGCAAGATTTCCACGTGCGTAAAAAAAGAATTAGCTCTAAACGTGCGCACTTTCTAGGTAATACTCTAAATCTAATAAAGCCCTTTAACACAAATCCTATCTGCAGCGGAAAAGCTCTACATATGACACAGAATGAAACGCGCGATTAGTAGCTCCTGCACTTAAATTGACTCATCTTACTTGCATACATACTAGCATACAACCTTTGCAGCTTGTAGATGGTAAAAGATTGCCAATTAGAAGTTCGTTATCGGTTGCTGTACCTGTACTTGGCATCTATCATAGATGCGGTGATAGTCAGCGTCACGCCAGTGTGCGTCTATAGCAGCGGACTAGGCAGGGGAGACGTAAGCCTGTGCCGTCTTGTATAGACCACAATCTGATCCTTTGATGGAGCATTTCTATGGGTCTTTTCTTGAGACAACGGCTCAACAAAAAATGGTTACACTTACAGGGGAGGATGTCTATCTACCGCATATATGCAAGAGATGTCTCGGGGCTTCCCCGGCAAACTGAATCACCTCGCTTACTATGCAATTTTATATTATACCGAATACAGTATAATTATCCAAAACAGACTAAACCTTATACTTATATATACAAATGCAACGGCCCACGACACGTAAATTGAAGTTATTTATATAATATTTCTCCAGATAAACTTTCTTTATATCTAAGTATCTTATTTATATACGTTTTCGTAGGTATTTAAAAAAAAAAAAAAAGGAGTCTCTACTAATTATGTATTTTAATTAATTTACAAGTAAAAGATATTAAATTAATTAAATCATAAGGCTTATCTAGAGCTAATTATTAAAAAAATCACTTATGACAAAGGCAGGCTCCTCCTATACAAATGATAGCGGTAGAGACTGATCTAGCACATAGGAATACAGGTAATTGAGGTGCGCAAGCTGGCAGGCAGGTAGGTAGGTATAATACTATTACTGTACTAGAATAAATCGTACTATATTATAAAACTGTTTTATTTGATCTATTTGGTCTATTTGCTTGCGTTTGCTTAGGTAGTAGCTAATTTAATGCGATCTGCGCGTATACTATTAACCTTGATGTAATTCGCCGACACGCCTCAAATTTGATATAGATTCATATCGGACGCTGCGAAAATGATGGACATAAGCCAAAATAGCGATTCGTCAATTTGGTCAAAATGATGCCTTACAAAAACGCAGATATTATCTTGAACCTCTTCTACTAGAGAAAGGAAATTGATAACTATAAGTACAAAGGTAAAAATAATTTCGAAAAGTTATAAGTACCTTATATATTTACTTATTAAATATTGTGGCAGAGCGACTCAACCCACTCAGTTATTACTCTGTTTTTGACTTCCCATTTATATTAGAATAGGCACGTAGATAAGTGGGATTAATTGGGTATATAAGCTCCTGGCCCCATTTTTTTCTTTCACACATTACTACTTAGATCATGACTTTGTAGCTTGACAGCTAGACCATGGAGAAGCCGGCTAGTTAGTTAATTATTAATGCAACTCAATTTGCAATACTTATATTAATAACTGGATCTTGAGACTATTAGTCGTCCTGAATACTACTGCTTGAGTGCGCTCTGAATATTTACCTTCTCTGAGAACACTAAACTATTGGTTTAATCTTCTCCGGATATATGGCCACCTGACAATAATCCTGCAACGCGACAATCGCTGAATTGACCCCCCTACCTTGAGTGCGATCATTTGGATGTTTTATCCATGCTTCCTCATGATCCTCCTAAAGGTCCTCCTAGCTCCTCGACAATATTTCTCGACGTTCCTTGAAGATAGATCTCTTAAGCCAAGTCGCAGTTCCAAAAGCCTCAAGGAGGTGAACGAGGGCAAGGCTCTTCCAGATTGTCCTGCCAGATTTGGGTTGCAGATGATCCATTACATTTAGATATTATCTTAACCTTGTAGAATGTTGCAATTCTAGTAATCATCGCCGGGTCCTTCACATTGGCTCGCCCGCTCTCTCGAATTAGTATGTCTTCTGTCCGCGAAAACGCAGTCTCTTAGTGAAATACATTTAAAAGCGAAACCTGGGAAGAAGGTGATATATGGAAATTCGCTGCATTTTTTATTAGTATATAGTGTAGAAGGCCTGGAATAGCATGGCAGTTTCAGCCGAAGGCAGCCCGTCGAGTCCTCCTACCACAGCCACATCCACAGAATGGAGAATGGAGCAGGGTGACTTGCAAGAGAAATTAAGACAAACCTTCGCAAGCGCAAGCAAACTTAGACCATTCTTTCAACTACAGATAGTGAGTGCTACGTCTACTTCACAAAATTCTACAGGCTAGTGTGGCTAAAATTAGCCGCTAGCCATTGACGCAGAATTAGAGGTGTGTTAATCTTTTCCAAGCTCCGCGACTCGTGACAGAACTCAACCTTCCTCAAGACCAATGCAGGAAAACAGTGACATCCGAGTGATAGTTGTAAACTACTTCTACTATGGCAACCGCGTTAGTATGCTTTTTTTTCTAGTTAAGCAAGATCATTAGTAATACGGTATCCGGTCGAAAGACGTTTGTAGTAATGAAGGTGATAGCTTACAGTGGCTCCAATATCAAGTGAGATCAGAAGTTCAAACGTTGTAACACTGAGGCTTGCAGCTGATAAGCCTTGATAACGAGTCTTTCAAATACTATCTAGTCTATATCTAGTCTATATATGTACAAAAAGGTGAAAATGAAGGGGATACCAGGCTGCGCGATTATAGAAGGACCACTGAACGCGCAGCACAGACAAAATTGAGATATTCAAGTTGTGTGAATATCTGACCGAAATCTAGATTGTATAGAAATAGTATAGAAAGCTCGATATCCAAATTCGCACAAGATACGGCCGTATGTGGACAAGAAGCACGATAAGCGAAGGGCTAGGCTAAATTAGGCATAGCACCACAACAAATAGGAGGACTACTCCGTGACCTAGACCGTGCTTATCATATGCTATTTTGCTCTTGAATTGCTGAGCAAAGCCGGCTCCTCCAAGTGGCACAGCACAGTGTCAGACATGAACATGCCAAAACATGATTGATCCACTATTTCCCTGACGAAAGAATCGGCGGTGGAGATCGGCCGGGAAATCACGCCTCAACTCTGTCCAGCTTTCCACCCAATGCCCCATCGTCCAGGAGACTTCCGAACATGGCTGCCTCGAACATATAGTTGACTTGCCATGCGTGATGACTGGCGTGAGAACATAGCCAGGTCAACTCAATGAAAAGGCCCTTGGAGTAAGCAAAAGCTAACATCCATCCCAGCTTGTCGACGAGCTCGTCCTCGCGTTCCTTGTCTACCTGGCCACTGGTAACATATTCCATCGGACCAGTCACCAAGTACCACCATACATCGTGCACCAGGGAGGAGAGCTCGCTCTGCTCGGCCAGTCGTCTAACGGCGTTGCATGGATCGCCACCATCACATGCAGACATCAAAGGCCTACTGAATCCTGTCGTGTGGAGGCGTTCGTCGAAAGCCTCATCGAAATCTGCCTCGCGCTGCTCCGTGGCGACCTTGCGCGACTTCGAGTAGCCGAGCACTGCAAGCCTATAGAACCTATGTCTATCGTTAAGGATGTGCCACTTATACAGCTGCGCATCCATACGAGCAGACGGCTCCGCCCACCGGTCGACGAATGTGCGAGCCCCGGTGTGAGAATAGGCATCGTAGACACGCCGCAGCTTCTCCTCGGTGACGATCCCGGCGTCAGTGAAGTCGGCGGTATTCAAAAACGAGTTCATGATCTCGGAGTTGTGCAGGTCACACCCTACGTCGACGACGTCGGTTGCTGGACAGCTAAAGACCATGTCTGCCATGACACCAGCAGGGTCATATCCGCGTGCAACGGCCTCTCCGGCCACAGTAAGTAAGCTGCTCTCGCAGAGTGACACGATCTGCGCAGTGCGGCGGTCCATGATCGCGGAGCGGTTGCCGACCTTGGCCTTGTGCTGTTCCTCCAGCTCGACCTTGGCCTTGATATACCTGATTCCAATCTCCGCCGCAACTCTCCGCTCGGCACCACCGGGGGTCTGTAAAGCGTGGTTGTCGGTGAGTGAACTCTTGATAAGTTTCTCAAATTCCGGAAATATTTTGTGGTACCCATGTTCATAATAGAATCCCAGGTCGTTCAGGTAGTTGGACATTAGTGTTTGTGCGTCGTATGCTCCCATGAACAAATTCATGTTGGCGCAGCCAAAGAGCGCCCCGTGGGTCACGAGGGCTGCCGGCCACTTCTCTGCGCCTAGAAGCTTGCAGACCTCCTTGGAGACGGGCTTCAGACCGTAGCCCTTGCTCGGAAGCACTCTGTTTTGTTTGTGTTGCTCCTCTCTCCACTGCTGAAGGTCGTTTGAAAGGCGTAGACGGGCAAGATGTTTCGATGCGACAACCTCGGGTTGATCGATGGCCCCAAAGACATCGGAGAGGTATTGGATGGCCTTGCATGTCAGTTCGTCCAGTCGTTGATTACCTCCATCGCCGATGAGACTGCGCGCCTCGTGGTATCCTCCGTGAGTCGGGAAGACTGAGTCGCCCTTCCGAGACGAGAAACGACCGCCCCAAAAGTATGGGGGAATGGGTGTCGAGGTGGTGTGGAATAAAGCAAGGTTTGGATCTTTGATCGGCGGCTTCTTGTCCCACAGGGTGAACTCAACGCTGTCCAGAGGATCTCCTGTAGTAGCGTCGACCTTATCCTCCTGGTCACTGACGTGCTCACCCATGATGAAAGATCGTGTTATGTGGACTATCGATGCGTAGTGGAGGCTGATGTCGATTAAGGGGAGGTATTTCAGGTCGGTAGACTGCTAGAAGGCGAGGCATATATATATGGTTGTTGGTTGTTACTATTTGTGGTAAGGTCCTCGGTGTCGTGATTTATGTGAGAAATTATCGTAGTTAGGTTACCATATGCATGAACGTGATAGATCACCAACGATGGGTAGGGGCGACATATCTTCTCTCTACAGAGGACGCTAGGAGATTGAGAAAAAACCAACATTGGCCCTGTCGATCAGCTGTCTGTAAAACACGGGCGGAACTAGGGATCATGGGAAAACATCACCTTGCTGGCACTAAACCACCGGCTCCCTGGTCGATATCCGAAGAGTCGTCCGCTCTCCGCAGGTCTAGTCGCCTCAAGTCGTACGCACAAAATCGTCAGTTTATCGAACTGAAAGGTCCCACGAGTCCCCAAAAGACGAAGCGGACGTTTCACAGACGGACAGATGGCAATTGGGCCTCGGAGCTTTTAGTAGTGGTTGCAGGGCTCCTGGTTCAAGATCACGCCATTAACCGAATTGACGCCGGTTAAAACCTAAAGGGGACTCGCTTTGGTTCCTGAGGCTGCGCCCGGTTCCCCTTTTTCGTTATGGTTGATCCGGGCCTTATCACCTTCCCCGCATAATATGGCTTGTAGCTGGGATGAATTCCAATAAGATCTTTATTTTATCTCGGTCGTGTCCTTTGAGGCCCCGGAGGTTGCCAAATTTCTTTTTCAGTCCCGACCACGGCTGTCATAGGAGTAGCAACATTTTGATACGGTCTGGCTGGGCCACCTCCAGAGATACTCAAATACTGTATATCCGTTAGAATATAGGAGCTCCCAGATGTAGTTTGGCTTAGGCCTCCTGCCAAACCACTGAAAACTCGTCATCTAATGCAAAGACTCAAACGTATGATCAGCTAGTTTCAACTAGTCTAAGCACCTGTTTTACTAGTAGTTGGTATTGGTATCAGATGTTTGGTTCAGTCAGGCAAGGCTTGGACATCTCGGATAGCGGCACATTCCATTCAAGTGGCACATTTGACTTATTCCATTAGGTTGCATATATATAGGAGCCTCTCACCCTGGAGTATTAGGCTCCTTAATGCAATTACATTATTCCATGACCCATTCTGACTACGCATCCGGCCTGTATTACATGCACCGATTTCGGTCCCAATTATCAACAATATCGCTAACCACGATAGGGCGCCCCTACTCATTGGACGTTCAGCCTTCTTGGTACAGCCTCCCGTCCACGCTGTACTCTTGCTGCATACAGGCACCAAAGGATAGTACTATTCACGAATTATTGGGTACTCGTGAACAGAGTAGTTACCTTCTTCCAAGCCTCTCAAGCACTCAGGACTCAATCAACGGCCTTGTTCAGTTTCATGTATCCAGTTATATCTCTGTTCTGGCTTACATTGAGGCCGGCCCGTGGATATCATCCCGGTGATTTTGGCCTACCATTATCTAATATCTGCAGGAAGCTGAATGCTAGTCTGTCTGGTTAGTGCGGCATGGGACTTGATGATTAATAAACCGATCGATGGGGGGACACAACCACCATCATCCTCTAGTGGAGTATCCCTGTGACTCCCTGCAGCTCCTTCGACATCAGATGCCCCTCACTTGCGTCTTTCTCGCCGAGAAGTACTCCCCATATTCGATTGATTTGAGTGAACTCGTTCGGAAGTGAGGAACCCGCGACACAATGCACGTAGGAATACCGATCCAGGCGTCGATAGTCGATCATGGCCGAAGGTTTGGGTATTTTAGTCTTTCCGCGCGGCCTACGTGTAATTTTCAAGCAAACTTCTATTTTCGTCCTAAAATCCAGCCCGAATATAAGAATTTGTGCCACGTAACGTGGGCGAATGCCCTTCTAGTCCTACAAAATGTGCCACTTCTTTCGTAGGTGCTTTTCTGGATAGGTACCCCTAAATGAAAAGGTGCCCATATTAAATTATTAACAATTAGGTAAAAGAGACATTCCAAAGGTCTTCAATGCGGACATAGCAAGTAGAAGCACACGTATGATTCTTCGCGTTACAACGTGTGTCCTCGTTATCCCTGAGAGATGGAAAGACAACTTGCCGAATGTAGACCAGTCACCCAGGTGTAGACTAGTTAGGAAGGGTGACGACTAGTCAGAGGGCAATGACCAGTCACTTCGAGAAGAGCGACGGCTAGTTACTAATATTGTTTCTAGAACTTACTCTTCAACTTTGCCCTTATCGTTAGTCCTCTAAAAACTGCCTTTGTAGCTAATAGACTAAGTGTAAACTAGAACAGTTGACTAGGTGTAATGTCAGGGTATTCAATCAATACTGTATACCTATATCGTACATGGTCTTTCCTAATCCCCTTGGAATTCTCAAGCCTAACACTGATATTATGCGTCAACATGATCCCATCCCTCGGTACAACCGTCTCCTGGGTCTCATTCCTACCCACCTTCATCGCTCCAATTTTCGAATGAGCTGAAGTCACCCTCGCCGAGCTCCCATACACGGCACATTCTGGCTGCGAGACATAGCGCGGGGGCTGAAGAGGAGGCGATGAGAACGACCAAAGTTTCTATCCTCCTGAGAATCATGATCGGGGTGATGTCATCTTTGAAGAAGGGTTAGAACGGGGGTTTCGTAAGTCTTGCGTAGCCGTCGGCCATACGTTTCATATATAGAATGCTTATAATACCGTTCTACTTCCGTTTCAAATATTTTTCATATTCAAACTATATAACTGAACTATGCAAATACTCGATTCTACAATCCCACCACCAGCTTCGTTGCACTAACACCGGCCTTGGACCTCTTTAGTGCCTCTTGGATATGCTCCAAGCCATTGCCAACGATGGATGGCGGCGGAAGGCACTTGAGCTTTCCAGCCTGCAACGCGGGGGTAACGTAGTCCCTCCAGACGGGGGCCGCGACGTCGTTGATGGCGAAGATCATACCCGCCTTCACGTTCGCAGGCACGTCGGTGGCGGGAGGAGGAGGATGCACACAGGCGAGGTGGCCTCCACCTAGCGCGGCGAGGATGGCGAGATCGTGGGCATATGTCTCGGGGGTGGAGATGGCGTCAAAGATGCCAATGAACTCGTTTCCAGACTTGCTAACCTCTTTAACGACTAGGTCAACGATCAAAGGGTTCTTGTGGTCAAAGACTTCGGCCGCCCCGCAACTCTTGCTGAAGTCAAGGTTGTGCGCGCCGGCGATGGAGATGACGTGGATTCCGGCGGCGGTGGCCAGCTGGGTCGTCATGGAGCCGACGGATGAGGAGCCGCCATACACGACGAGCGTCTTGCCTAAGGATGGCACGGGGTGTTCCAGCGAAGGGTACGGCAAGTTGAGGGCCGGTGTAGCGACGCCGGGCATGGCCACGCCGGGCTCCTTGAGGGAAAGCACGCAGACCGCCGCCTCCAACGCAAATGGCACCACAACACCATCAGTGAAGGAGATGGCATCAGGGAGGATTGCTGCTTTGTCCACAGGAATGACCGTGTACAGAGCGAAAGCGCCATCCTGAGGGCGGCCGCTGGCCAGGTTGATGGCATGCCTACAATGGGAATATCAGTCCGCGGTTCTTTTCCCAAGAGAAGAGAACACATCAACCAACTTACCCGATGACACGATCTCCTTTCTTAAAGCGCTGCACGTCCGGTCCCGTTTCATATACCTCGCCGGCCACATCGCAGCCGAAGATCGCCGGCCACTGCTGGACGAAGACGCCCGAGTCCTGCATATGGCAGTCGAGCGGGTTGATGGCGATGGCGGCATTCTTCACGACGATCTCGCCGGGGCCCGCCGCGGGCAATGGGGCGTCGCCCACCTGTAGGGGAGTGTCGGCCTTGATGAGCCATGCGGCTTGGTTCGTCGATGCCGCCATAGTAGAGAAGGGCGGGAGATGGAGTGTCAAGTCGGACGGATAAATGCTTTTGCGGATTGATGTCGTGGCGTGAAGAAAAAAGCAGTTCAGACAATGTAAGGTAGTCAGATATTGCTGGCTGGATGATGATAGGAATCACGGAAGGCATGATGTAGTTATATACCAGTAGGCATGTATACACATGTCTGATGCGAATGAAGACGCCGCAATCACGGGCGGAAACCAGGGACGTGATTTCCAACCAGCGACATGATTTGCAACCAGCAACGCGATTTCAGAAGGAATTTCGAAGCAGACCGGAGGGAGTCGTTGAAACTGAATCGCAAGTACACGAGACTCGGAACCGCATATGGTGTTCCTGTCTGGAACCGCATATGCCGTTCCTCGCTTACCTAATAAACCGTCGTGACCAGCTAGGCAGTGCTCATATGACCGGTCATCCGAGCTCCGATGACCACACGTGACTCTACATAGAACATTTATAAAACGTTTTTCAAATGCTTACCAA